TTTACCTCAATTAAAAAGATAAGTGCATTCAGTGTTTGCTTGCTTGTTTGTTTATTTGTTTTCTGACATGCAGTCAGACTCTCCTCCCCTCCTTCACCCACCCCCGGCTTCTTCTGGGGTGGACAGTCAGGAACTCTGGACAAGGCTCTCTCTGGTGACACCTATGGCAGGCCTTCTAAGGACCAGCCAAAAGGCGCGGGCCCACTTCGTGGGGAGCAGAAAGTGGTGGGATGGGATCCCTCTCCCCAGCTCAGGACCCTCTGTCCTGCGCTGTCCCCCCAACATCAGCATGTCACGGAGAATCACTGGGCAAGAAGATGGGGGCTCCCAGGCTCAGAGCTGCTGGAGGAGCCACCCTGGGTCTCCGGGGTGCAAACAATCTCCCATCCCAGGGGCTGGGGCTCAGGAGGCTGCTGTCTGCACATAGGTGGGGGTCAAAGACCAGAGTGGAAGAGTCAGTGGTGTCTAAGCTGGGTTCCCGGGGTCTTGTGACCAGCCAGGGCCTTTGTACTTTGCCCTGGGAACTTGTATCTAGGGTGGGGCTGTGGGACATGGAGGTGACTGGAGGTGGCCTCTTGCTCAGAGCCTGCCCTTCTGTGCACAGGAAATCCAGCCTGGCCCATGTGACCGCCCCCACCCCCACCCCACACAGAGCAGCAGCACCCCCAGTGGCTGGGCCGTGCACTGCAGCTTCCCAGCCTCCTCTGAGCACCCTGTCCCTGCACTCCCAGGGGTCCAGCGAGCAGCGGTGGGTTTGGGTTTTGGTCTATTAACGCCTGCCATGGCGGCATCTCGGGACTGGTTTGTGAATGCAGGTGCACTAGGGGACTGGGCTGGTTGTTGCTGCATTATTGTTGTGTACTTAGGTTTTGAAACGGCCTAATTGGCATGTAATTCACACACCGTATAATTCCGTGGTTTCAATGTATTAGAAAGCGCTGGACAGTCATCACCACTGTCACCCTTAGAAGCTTCCCTTCCTTCAAATGCCCGCGTCCCGTTCCTGGGGGACTGCTCTTTTTATTGAGATGGGGGCTGTGGGAGAGAGGCCGGTTCCCGAGCGCTCTCCACCCCTGACCGACCCACGCCTGCCTAACCCACGCCAACCCCACTCATTCCCCGCCCCCCTGCTCCCCACCCTGCAGGCTCTGTCTGTGAACCCAACGGATGCGTGGTCGGTGCACACCGTGGCCCATGTCCATGAAATGAGAGCGGACATCAAGGATGGCCTGGAATTCATGCGGCGCTCAGAGCCCAACTGGAAGGTACTGTCCCGTGGTGGGTCACCGCCCGGGAATCGCGCTCAGCTGGGGCTCTCTGGCTGGGAGTTCCAGGGTGCACTTTGGCTCTTGGGGAACTTGGAGAACTCCTTAGAGGTGTTTCTTTCTCCTAATAGCCCCTCCTCCCCCCGGGAGGCCACCACCCGTCAGCACTTTGCAGGGGGTTCTACAGCTGGCCGGAAGACTTGGTTGTGGGCTTTGGTGCCGTCGAGTCATTTCCTACCCAGACTGACCCTCTAGACTGCAGAGCAAAGCACTGCCCGGTCCTGGGCCATCCCCACCATTGTCCCATGCTTGAGCCCATGGCTGCAGCCACTGTGCCAGTCCATCTGGTCCAGGGCCATCCACTTTCCCAAGCGTGATGTCCTTCTACAGGGACTGGTCTCTCCTGACAACAGGTCTTGGCGTGCTTGCTGGCCGCTAAGGAGCGCTCTGGCGGACTTCGTCCAAGCCTGATCTCTTTGCTCTTCTGGCGGTCCATGGTGCTGTCGGTGCTCTTCTCCAGCACCGATTCTCCTTCCGTCTTCCTTAGTCAATGCCCGGCGTTCCCGTGTTCCCAAGGGCTGCTGTAAGGAAGTGTCACAACCGGAGAGTCCACACAACAGAAAGGGATGGTCTCGGGCTTCAGAGGCCAGAATCTGGGGCCAGGAGGAGGCTCTTGCCTTTTCTATGTTCCGGAGGGTCCACCTGCACCTGGCTCATCCCGAGTCTCTCCATGCCCGCACGGCTCCCTCTCCCCTGAGTCCTCCACCCTGTCCTACAAAGATACCACTCTTGTCAGTCTTGACCCGCCCTACCCCTGGGTGACCTCCTAGGAACTCTGGTTTCCTCCTTTCTCGTTTGCTCTGGACCAGTGGGGAGCACAGTATCTGAGCCAACATACCCTTGGGGGACACATTTCAACTCATAACAGAAGGGTTACTTGGGGCAATCCCCAGGGCGGAGATGGGATGGGGTCAGAAAGGCAGGCCCTGTTTGGATGGCTGCTCAGGGAGCCCGACCCTGAGTGGACATCTTTATGGCCCTGGCTCCTGTTCCTGTCTGAGTGTGCTGACTGCCTGGCAGCCAGGGGGCCCAGGAACAAGCGTGGCATATTTCCTTATCCGTCGCCCCTGCCCTACACACGTGGAAGGCAGAGTTGAGGAGCCCATGAGCACATGAGGAGTGGTGGGCCCTCCCAGCCTCAGTTTCCTCCATGGTAGATCCAGGTGCCAGAGCAGGTGCTGGGTCACTGTTCCTTGCCTTCGGGTTCCACATCAGCTCAGAAGGACGGGCAGTAGACGGAGCCCTGGCGGCACCCACCGTGAAGTGCTTGGCTGCTAGCTGAAAGGCCAGCGGGTTGAACCTGCCCCAAAGCTCCTCTGGAAAGGACTTGGCCCTCTGCTCCCAGAACCCCCTCCTCTGGGGAGTTCTGTCCTGTCACACTGGGCCACCAGGCGTCTGAATCCACTGTGACACACACACACAGCACCCGCAGTAAGCAAATCCGCAGACACCCAGGGTAGGTTGGCGGGGGCCAGAGGCAGGGAGCGTGGCGAGCGGCTGCCAGTGGGTGTGAGGTCTCTTTGGCGGGAACAGGATGTTGTGGAGCCAGAGAGGGTGGTAGCTGCACCTCGTGAGTGGCCTAAATTCCACGGAATGCATCACTTTCAATGGTTCAATGCACGTGATGTGCTTTTTACCTCAATTAAAAAGATAAGTGCATTCAGTGTTTGCTTGCTTGTTTGTTTATTTGTTTTCTGACATGCGGTCAGACTCTCCTCCCCTCCTTCTGTCCCCAGGATGCCGACATGCTGGCCTGCCATAATTACTGGCACTGGGCTCTGTACCTGATCGAAAAGGTAAGGAGGGGGTCTGGGCAGCTCAGTCCGACAGACCCGAGCCCCGTGCTCTGAGGTGTGGCACTGTGAGTTTGCACACTTCCATAGCATCTTGGCGCCTGATGGTGGTGGTGGTGATGGTGTAGCCCTGTGTCTGTCCATCTCCTTGAGGGCCTTTCACTTTGTCCTTGACCCTCAACTTGACCATGCACTGTGTCCTTCTCCAGGGACTGGTCTCTCCTGACAACACACCCAAGGTATATTATGAGACAAAGTCTCTCCATCCTTGCTTCTAAAGTGGTGGTTCTCAACCTTCCTAATGCTGTGACCCTTTCATACAGTTCCTCATGTGGTGGTGACACCCCCACCCCCAACCATAACATAATCTTCGTTGCTACTTCATCACTGTCATTTTGCTACTGTCATGAACTGGGAGAACCCTGTGAAAGGATTGGGCAGCCCCCAAAGGGGTCACAGCCCACAGATTGAGAACCGCTGTTCTAAAGAGTAATCTGGGTGTGCTTCGTCGAAGACAGGTTAGTCTACTCTTTTGGCAGTCCACGGTACATTCTGTGGGATCCAGCCCCACATCCGGATGGGTCCTAAGGGACGGTTGGGTCACTGAAGGGAGGAAAGTAAGAGACAGACAAAAGTGTTGTGGTTCCCCCATCCTCCATGGCATCAGGAACCAGGTCCTGCTGAGCAGGAGAGAGAGAGAATGTATTCTTACGTCAACTTATATCGTCTCGGGCATGCAAGCCCCCCCAATTACAGGTAACCACATACGTAACAAAGGAGGCTGTAACCTAACCCTAAAGGTCCCTGAGCTTATTGGAAGCGTTACCTAACACCCGTGCTGGGGGCAGGTGAGGGGGAGTGACTGTCCCCTGGGCTGGGAGAGCAATAGCACGTGTCTGCTCCTGCAGATGAAGCTGCCGGCCAGACAGCACTCAGCCATGTGCTTGTAAGAGGTAACTCAAAGGTAGCCTTATTACGGGAGAATATTATATTATGGGGATTGGTCTTAGTTATTAGAATGTGATTGGGACTCATTTCTAACTCACAAGTGTAAAGGTCTCCCTCTACCCCAAACCCTGGCCCCTTCCCAGGCTTCTTAAATGTGAGAAGAAAGAACTCACATACACACTCTTCCCATCCCTCAGTTTCCCACAGCATTCAATCATCTTTGCCAGCACCATCATTTAAATACATTAGCCCTTCTTTGATCTTCTTACTCAGTGTCTAACTTCGACCTGCATATGAGGTGTTTGAAAAGACCCTGGCTTGGGTCCGGCACACCTTAGTCCTCAAAGTCACGTCCTCACTGTTCAGCACTTTAAAGAGGTCTAGTGCAGCAGACTGACCCAGTGCAGTGCCTGGTCTGGTCTCTTGAGAGAGAGACTGCTGCGTCCATGAGCCCTGATAGTGGCTACAAGCAAGAAGAGATCCTCGACCACTTCAATCTGTTCTCATTTCGCATGATGTTACTTCTTGGTCCAGGTCTGAGGATTGGGGTTCAGTTTACGTTGAGTTGTGATCATCCTGGCTGATCCTGGACGATCCGCCATCCCGGATCCTCATGAGCAAGTGCTCCCAGACCTCCTGACTTTCAGCAGGCAAGGATGTGTCATCTTCAGGCCGCAGGTGGTTCGGGAGCCTCCCTGCAATCCATCTGCCGGGGCCGCAGACCCGATTCTCCTCATAGGCCCTGTGGGCGACGGAGGGCACTGCCCGAGGGTGGCCCTGGCCATCACCTCCACAGAGCAGGTGGCCAGACCTCGCTCCTACAGAGTTCCAAGAGCCCACCTTGCTGAGCGCTTAACCGTCTGCACCACCAGGGCATCTTCCCTGCAGTACCAGTGCTGGCAGCTGTCTTCTTGGACTGGGGCTTTTCTCTGCCTGCACTTGGTGAGCCGGCGGTGGTCTGTGAAGAACAGGAGGCCTTACTAGCTTGCCCCCATCTCTGTAAGTGCGGCCACCACACCAGGGAGCAGCCCTGAGGGGCGGTCAGATCCCTGAAAGCGTTGGGTCCTACGGTGTCCAGGACCATGGGGCTTTCCAAAGTGCTGTTTATCACAGAGAAAAACTAGGAGCCGACTCATGTTCAGAGGAGCCTTGGTGCCGCAGTGGGTTAATCGCTGGGCTGTGAGCCACAGGGTGGGTGGTTCAAACCCACAAGCCACCCCCAGGGAGTAAGATATAGCAGAAAGCTCTCCCTGGGAAAAAAAAATACGGCCAAAATGCTGAGGAGCAGGGAAGGTGAGACTTTGTCTCACATAACTTGGCATTGCGATCAGGAGAGACCAGTCAGCCCCTGGAGAAAGATACCGTGTTCAATAAATTGGAGGGTCAGTGGAAAAGAGGACGGCCCTCTGAGATGGACGGACACAGAGACAGCAGCAATGGGCACCGTGAGGCTGGCGCAGGGCCGGCAGCACTGCACTCTGATGTCCGCCGCGTCGCTGTGCATCGGCACCCCCTCGACCGCACCTTGCAGCGACACACATGAACCCCAGGACCTTTGCTTTCCAGGGGGAGCATGAGGCTGCGCTGACCATTTACGACAACCATGTGAGTCCACCTCCTCCTTGGGTCCGGGTCCGGGCAGCCAGGGCCCCGGGCCAGCCAGAACAGCCCTCCAGAGGCAGCCGGAGCCTCCTGTGGCATGTCCCCAGGGTCCCCGTTGCCTCTCCCAGTGCTGAAACCCAGCAGGGGTGCGAGTTGTGGGCTGATTCTGTCTCCCCTTGGGTGTGGGTCCATTTATACATGGAACTGGATCACATGGGCCGTCTCCGACTTTCAGGAATGTTCTAGATTGGTTTGCTTCGCTAAGAGTTGCTCTGTGACTGGCCTTTTCAAAGAGAAGAAAAACCCTGTCTTGATGACTTCCAGGGATCCCTAGACCAGGACAACCAGTTGCTGTCAAGCTGACTCCTGCTCCCGGCGACCCCGTGTGGCTCAGACTAGAACTGCACCCGCAGGGTTTTCTGTGGCTAAAGGAGCCCTGGCGGCCTAGTGGGTTCCTTCTTTGGGCTGCTCACCAACCGCATGGTCAGCAGTTTGAAACCACCAGCCGCTCCGAGATAGACAAACAGAACTTGCTCCTCCCCTAAAGAGTTCCAGTCTCAGAAACCCACAATGGCAGCTCTACAATGCCCTACAGGGTCGCAATAAATCCGCATCAGCTCCAGGGCAGGAAGTTTGTTTGAGTTTGGGGATCTTTAGGAAGTGGCTTGCCAGCCCCTTTTTCCTGAGGCTCCCCTGAGACTCAAAGAACCAGCCTTTCAGTCAGGCACCCAGCGTGTTAGCTGTTCACATGAGGAGTATGTCCTGGGCACCGGGGACCCCAGTGGGAAACCCCTGATCAATGCAGCAGGGACCCTGCTGGAAGGCATCCTTTGGGGCTGTCAGAGACCAAGGGTGAAACCTGCCCAGAGGGGTAGACCAGGTGGCCCCCCCGAGCACCGCTCAGTCCAGTGCTGTGGAAGGCAGCCCTGTCCGTTGGAGGGTTGACCTTGGGGATGGACAACAAGGTCAGAGCCACCCTAGCAGAGGCTCCCCACCCCTGGGTGCCCCTGGTGACGGCGTATGGCCTGATGGTTGCGGTGGTGGGAACCATGGAGGTGCTCCCATTGGCTGAGGGAGGCATGGCTGTCCCTCTGACCACTCATCTCTGTTCCCTGGGCACTGCCACTGGTGGCCTTGTCTTCCAGATCTTGCCCAGCCTGCAGGCCAGCGGTGCCATGCTGGACGTGGTGGACAGTTGCTCCTTGCTCTACCGGCTGCAGCTGGAAGGTAGCCCCAGCCCATGGCCCCAGTCCCCCTCCACTCCAACAGCACTTGGACAAAGGTGCCACTGTCGCCAGGCCAAGGGCACAGCAAGAACACATCCAGACAGCAATCAAGCCCAGCCTCTGGCCCGAGGGCGGGCACGCTGGCACCAGTCACCCACACACACACACCACCTCCCTTTCCCCCAGTTCCCACTCCCCTCTTCATGACACTTTAAGCTTGTGTCCAGGGGAGTGTCTGCCATTCTCACACCTGCCCAGCAGGCCTGCAGGTACAGGTGGCACCTGGCCATGGCCTTAGAACACAGTGGCGAGTGTTTCTCAACCCCAGGACCGCATGCTCTGCAGGGCGTTGGTACAGGGCTGGTCATGACTGGGGGCTTCTGACCTTTGCTAGACCCAGCATCTCCAAGTCTGTACCCACCCACACAGGCCTGGGGCCCTGGGGCCAGTGGGCCATGTGGGGATGGAGCCTGGGCAGGGCACTCTGAGGGCCTGAGCAAGGACCCAGCGAGCTGCTTCTGGAGAGGTCTGAGAAGCTTCCCTGTGCGGGTGAAGTGTGACGTCAGAGGATGTATGGTGTCTTCTGGCAGGTTCCAGGAAGGCTCTGTGGTGGAGGTGAAGCGTGAGGCCACAGGATTCCTGAGTCTTGGGCAGGGCTCTGGGAAAAGCTCCTTTGTGAGGTGACGTGTGAGACAGGATGTGTGGGAGAGAGCCGGGCAGATACAAGGAACAGACATTACATGTGGTGAACATGGCAGGCCGCCACCCTGGACCTAGCTGTCAATGCCTCCTTGAAGGGAGGAGTGAGGGAGCATTGATATGGTCAATGGGACAGGAGGAGGCCGGATGGAGGTGGTGGGCCTGGAGAGCCCAGCGGAGCCCTCATGGGAGGACAGGGCTGGGCGGCCTGGGAGAAGGACCCCTCAGTGGCAGGCTGAGGCCCAGAACTCCCAGGGCCCAGCTGAACTGAGACCCGAGAGGATGGGCACAGGGCGTTTGCGTCTTGTTCATTAAACATCCCACAACCTGCCGGAGAGGGAGGGGCCGGGGGCTGGCCTGCAGGGACAGAGGAAACCACCCGGAATGCTCTAGAAGCTGACGTGCTGACCTGGAACACCCCATTGCAAGTGTGAGGAAGGCTGCAGAAGGGGCAGGGACCCCAAACTCAGAGGCAGAGTAGAGGTGGAGGGGGGCACTTGCCTCCTCACCGTGTAAAGAGGGCCCTGACAGCAGTTCTTGGATCTGGTGGGTTGAGACAGGTGGTGAGGGTAGCATCTCCGGACATGAAGCTGCCCACCAGGAGATGTGGGGAGAGTGGGAAACTTCCAGAAGGCTGGATGGGGACAGCTGGCGGCCTGGGAGAGTGGAGCAGAGATGGAGGAGCCTGGAGGACCGCAGAGGATGTACAGGGTTAATTTCCCGGGAGAGGCTGTCAGGACATAACGGTGGGGGTGGGGGGCCGCGCATGCCCATTACCGTGAGGAATTTCTCGTGTGGATTCATGGGCTTGCGGAGGGGACTGGATTTTCCCGTTCAGATTGTGGGATCCAGGGCTTGACTTCACTCCCCACATCTCGTCTTTGTCCTTGTTGTCATTGTCAGGTGTCACTGAGTCCATCCCACCCCCACCCCCACGCCCCCAGCAACCCCAGGTTCAACAGAACCAAGCCCAGCGTGGTCCTGTACCACCCTCACCATGCCGGTCGTGGTGAAGCTCATCTTCACAGCCACCGTGTCAGTCCGTCCTGTCGAGCGGCTTCCTCTTTCTGGCTGCCCCTCCACTTGACCGAGCACGATGTCCTTTTCCAGGCACCGGCCTCTCATGAAACACGCCCAGAGTCTTGGAGACAGAGTCTCACCCTCCTGGCTTCTCAGGAGCACTCCGCCTGTAGTGCCGGTTCTCTCAGGACCCGTGGTGGTTTCCATAGTCTTGGCTGGCACCATCCTTCCAGGGCGTCGACGTCTTCACCCTCCCGCCCTCATCTTGGCGGCTGGGGGGGACCCTCTGGGACCTTGGTCTTCCCAATGTCGTTGAGGAGGCTCGTCCCCGCCCTTGAGGGTTTATGCTCCTGAGCCATCCAGCTGGGAGCTGGGAGCTGGCCTCAAGGAGGGCGGTGGGATCCAACCAAACCCTTCTGTGTGGTGAGGCCGTGGTCACAGCTCGGCACGTGGCAGCCCCCTGGGCTTCCTGGTTGGTGAGAGAGACTCTGATGGTCATGACCAGTGAGTGTGTGCTTCAGGTCATGGGCGTTCAACACAGGGAGCCTTCCGGCACTCAGCGTGTCTGTGGGGGCGCCCTTTCCGCTGGAAGAGGGAGGGCTCCCGGTTGGCGAAACATTCAGAAGTAGAGCCTTTCTCTGAGCTCCAGGGACCCTCCAGTGAAGTACCAAATGAGTCAGAAAGTACTGGATGGCAGTGGATTGGTTGAGTTTGGTTTGGGGAATGATGGCAGCCGGCAGGTCAGAGGTGAGGGCTATCTGAGTTTACCATTGGGAGAAGAGGGACCCCCAGAGGCTCAGAACCAGGAAGCGCCCTGAGCTGACAGCAGGCACCTTGAACAGGTGGTGAGGAAACCCTGGGTTAGTAGCCAGCAGGTCACAGTGAGGGGGACCCCAGGCCCGAGGCTGGTCAGCACTGTCATGTCCTCTGGTTCAGGGGAAGGGCTGAACGTCCAGCACGTGCGGAGGCTGATCTCCAGTGGCTTCGCTGTCACTCCTGTTTACTGTGTGGGTCAGGAAAGATGGACTGACGTCATGTCTCTCTGACTAGCCATCTGCAGGTGCGCTTTCTTCTTCGGCATCGATTGTGTGTCTAAGTGGACAGAGTTAGCGTTGCCTGGAGACAGGAGACCTTGGCCTGGGGCTGGCCGCTGCAGGCCAACAGGTGCCGGCCCAGCCTGCCACGGGCACAGGTCACCAGGACAGGCAGACAGAGAAGTGGAGGTGGTGTGGGGCAGTGCTGGAAGACCCCTGCAGCCCGGGTCTCCTTCTGACGTCCTCAGGCGTGCCAGTGGGCAGGCGCTGGCAGGACGTGCTGCCCGTGACGCAGAAACACAGCCGTGACCACATCCTGCTGTTCAATGATGCCCACTTCCTCATGGCCTCCCTGGGGGCCCAGGACACCCGGACAACGCAGGAGCTGCTCTCCACTCTGCAGGAGGCCAGCGAGTACGCAGGGGGCTGGGGCACTTCTGGGGCTCCCTAGGCCTGCTCAGTGCTGCGTTGTCCCAGGGTGCGGGTGGCAGCCTGGGGGCCTATGGGCAGCAGGAATGGTCTCCAGCCCACTGTCCTGCTAGGACCAGAGCCAGGGGCAGCCCCGGTTTGAATTCAGACCCCCCCTCCCCCCGTCATCCCACCCTCTGAAAGCACCCACTGTGTGTTGGGCACTGCGCCTGGGGCCTGCAGGAAGCTGGAATCAGTGGGTGGACAGGGTGGCGTGGGGGCTGCCCAGGGTTGAGGACCACCCTCTCCTCCGCAGCTCCCCGGGGGAGAACTGCCAACACCGCTTGGCCCGCAAGGTGGGGCTTCCCCTGTGCCAGGCCCTGGTGGAGGCTGAGAGTGGGAACTCGGACCGGGCCGTGGACCTGCTCCTGCCCATCAGATACCAGATCACCGAGATCGGAGGCAGCAATGCACAGGTGGGCTCACCACACCACAGGGGTGTGGCTGTCATGTCCATGCTCCCGTAGAAGGCCTCTCCCCCTTACACACACAAAATGGGCCCAACCCCTATGGGTCCAGCCCCTGCTTTGGTCCACATCCTCACCTGAGGTTTGGGTGCACATCTAGACCTGTAAACTGGGGGTGAGGAGGGCACGGGGATGGGATGGGGTGGCACCCCAGCTCCCTTGGGGATGGGCAGGCCTGCGAGGGGCCCGCCTGGTCAGCGGAGGGTTGGGCTTTTTCAGCGCGATGTCTTCAACCAGCTGTTGATTCACGCGGCCTTGAACTGTACCTCGAGCGGCTACCGGAACCTGGCGAGGTGAGTCGGCCTCCCCCGGGGCTTCGGCCTTTCCCACCGAGCTACACGCCTTGTGGGTTCCCGTTCTCCTTGTTGACGCAGCCTCTGCCCACCACCCAGCCCTGCCCACTCTGCATCTGGGTGGTGCTGCGTGACTCTTCTCCAAACCTGGCCACTCTCCAGGCCGGAGCTCCCTTTCTGTCAGCAGCGGGGAGGCCCTGCCTTGAGGCTAAGCCCTGAGTCCCACCAAAACTGAAACCGAACTTCCCACCATGAAGTTGGTGCCAACCTACGGAGACCCGATAGCACAGGGAAGCAGTGGCTGGTGGTTTTGAACTGCTGGCCTGCGGTTATAGTATTGATGGGTGTGCCTTGGGAGAGTCAAGGTCAGGCCCTGTTGGGCGGGGACAGCGGTAGAGAGGGACAGATCAGGAAAAGGCCTGTCACCATCCCACCCCTTTCCCACACTTGTCCATACCTGGCAGGAGGGCATAGTGCTGTGGCGATACCATCCTTGCCTAACCCTACTGTCCCCACTGCACCTCTAGACAGCCCATCCCACTGCCCATGTGCCAGAACCCACGCCTCCCCCATAGCCCGTGCTTGTGGGGGTGATGGGGTGTTCCCTCTGAGCCCCTACCTGTTCCCACTTCAATGCACAGGGAAGAGCAGCCACCCACCTCCCCTCCAGCCTCCAAGGTGGGCATCCTGACCGGGGCTGGTCATCGTATGGGAGCTTGCCTCAGACAGCCCCTGGGTGGCAGTATTGGGTCCTTGCCTCAGAGGCAGGCCCCTCCTAAGGACCCACAGCTGACACTGGGCTGTCCGAGCTGAGTGAGGGCCGTCAACTCCATGGCAGTGGCGAGTGGCTGAGTGACAGTCCCCTCCTGAGAGAGGCTGGTGACCTGGTTCTAAACCTCCCCTCTGAACCCTCTGGAGCTCAGTCCGCTCTGCACACAGGGCCGCTGGCCACTCCGTGGCAACTGTTTGTGTGACCTTGGCTTTTGTACCTCGATTTTCTTGTTTTAAACTTGGGGTTTTAACCCTCTAGGCAGATCTCGCCCCCCCCCC